TCCCTGCCTGGCCTCCGTGTGTTGGGATCACGGTGGCAGGCTCAGGTTGGAAGGAGGGTTGATCTTCCCGGGCTTTGATGTGTTAATTCCTCAGAGGAGCTGCTTGCTCCGCCTGAGGAGCGCTGCAGCGCTGCTGCTTCACGGCTCCGCTTCCCACATCTTCCACTCTGCTGCCACATTTGCCTCCATCCTTGGTTAGACGAGGAAACCTGCCATCACTTAACCTCTGTCTCGGTTTGGAAACGGTGCTGATCGCTCGGCATAGCAGGTGCCTGCGGTGCTGAGGCTGCAGCTCTCAGCCTCGGCTGCCTGCCACAGGCACTTGTGTCCTTAAATGCATGAAGATAGTCAGGACCAGCATGGAGTATAGCTGGGACATTCACGGACACTGCGTCTGGCTAAATAAGGTAAGGCTATCTGTGTTTGTTCTGGCTCTTGCATTTCTCCGAGCGACAAGCCATAGCTGGGCAATGCTGGTAGGGAAAAAGTATTTAGTCTTTCTCTTCTATCAGATACCATCTGAGCTGTTGTTGAAGAGACTGAATATTTTGAAATGGTTGCATCTTCCCTATTCAACAGCCGTGTTATTTATATTTAGAAAATGTTTCGGGTAAACTCCTCAGAGTGAAGGTCTGTCTTAAGCTGGTTTTCTTTCAGAATTCACTTTTATTGTAGTGAAGCCTTTAAAATGTGATATGGGGGGTTTTGAGTGGGTTTGTGGGGTTTTTTTCCGCTGCTCATTCTGTGAGGAGGAGCTAATCTGTAAACTTTAGGAAAGGTTTAGCAGCAGGTCTACCTGCCTGCTGCCAGAGCACGTGGAGCAGGCTGCAAATATTTAGTGATGAGTAGGGAGGTGTGAAATGCAGGAGGTGCTGCTTTGGGAGGGCAGCGGTGGGCTCCTATGCAAACTTGTTAAACACTGGTACGGTTTGTGTTCAGACAGATTTGACCAGTATGAATTTGGGACGGAATCAATACTTACAAAGGGTAAAGCTGTCACAACTCTGTATCACAGGGCGTTTGAAACAGTGGCAAATACTTTGCTTGGAAAACCTGGAGGCTTTGCCCATGGCACACCAGGTGATTTTGAGATAGCTGAGGCTGGAGGAGCCCCCTTGCAAGGGACTCTCTAAAACTGAGTGAACAAGCAGAACAGCAGTAGCTGTGCTTAATTAAGCATAGGTAACGTGTATTATAATGATCTGAACAACATAAGCATGTTGATGAGCTCTAATTTAACTCCAGATGGTCAGGAAAGAGATGTCAGGGACAGCTCACTTGCCCAACTGTTGATTGGACTGTGGTGGTCAAAACAGTGCAATCTGCCACACAAGAAAATAATGCTGTGGAGTGGCAGCTCCTTCTATGCAAATCAAATTGCATCTACAGCAAGAACACTGTGATTTGTCCTGCTTATTTTGTCTCAAAAGCAGAAGAGAAAATGAAGGGAAATGAGGGTATCAGCTGCAGGAGGCTAAAAATGAGTTTTGTTTTTGAAAGGAGAATTTAGCAGTTGAGAGGAAACTTTTTTAAAAAAATTATTAGGAGGTTTAAAATAGCAGCTATTAGAAACTTTCTTGCAGTTTGGAATGCTATCTCACTTCCAGATAAAAGGGATGAAAGACTGAGGGCATGCAAGCTGTGAAAGTTTTGTGATGCATCTACTAATTACAGGAATAATTCTCTCTAGAGCAGTGTGGATTTTTACACTTACATGATTGCAGACAAAGCCTGCACACGTGTTTAACAGATTAGCCACAGATTGATCTTGCAGAGTTTTTGAGTGCACTGGGTCTGATCTTATAAGGCATTTTAAGTATATGCTTAACTTCAAACTTCTGCAAAGCCTCAGTGGCATCGTGACAACTGTTCTTTTGTTTTTCAGATTAAGACTGGTATTGGTAAATCTGCATTCTCTTTCCATACAGTGTTTTGCAATTAATCCCTAAATAAGTCTAACTGCTTAATTGGAGATAGATTTTAAGTGGCTGATGACAAAGAGCCTTCTTTGGAAAATGGCAAAGCTTGTTTTACACAGTTAGTAAACTACGTTAATCCGGTATTGACTTCAATGACACAAATTTGATCGAGAACTACCAAGTGCCCCAAATATGCTTGCAGTTGCTGTTGAATCAATTTTTTACTTCCCTTCCCTCCCCCCCCCCAAGTGGAACCATTGCTCTGGAGGGTGAGTAGTTGCCAGGCTCAGTTGCAGGTGAGGCTGCAGGTCTCCAGGTGGAGAGAAGCTCCTCCTGAAGGACACACCAAGTGTTGCTCAGCCATGCTTTGCACACACCAGGTCTCCTGGCATCTTTCAGACCTCTCTGCAGCCCATTCCTCCCCACTGGGGCTCCCTCCACCCCATCTACTGATGCACTGCTTTCCCATATCCAGAGTTTAGGCATCTTCCTTGTCTGCAGGTCCCTGATCTCTGCACCACTGTAGGAGGTGCTGGGGCTGCTGCTCTGTGAAATATCTGCCATAGCTTTTCTGTGTCGTCCTTTCTCCAACTCTCATCTTTTTCCCCCCTGAGACCAAAGTCAGTGACTTTCTTGCCTTTTCCTACCTAAAATGTATAGTCTGAAGTATAATCCAGAAGTTACATTCCAGGCAAAAAGCAAACTGCTGTTAGGTTGAACACAAAGTTTTGTCTTCCCTGTACTACAGAAGGACTGTTTTTATGCAGATTTTACAAATTATTTCTGGCAACAGCCAGCAAAGGCATCTTTGGTTTTGTGGGAGAGCAACCTTTACTCCAGTCCTGTTTGGGGTTCCCGAGACCTCCTCCCTCTTTCTTGTGACAATGTGCATCTGCGGCTTGAACTGTTACTCTCTAAATGCTCCTAATTTAAAGCCAAGTATGACATGCTCAGCAAAACAGAATTTTTTTGAGAAATGTGAACAGAGTTTAACAACAAAGGTGTCTTGGCAAGACCCTGTGCGTGATGACTAACATTCTGCTTTAACACCTCGTCGGTTTTCACGGCATCGTAAAGACATTTTCATCATAGTGTGAAACCGATACTTACCTCCCCATATTTTCTTCATGCAGGCTTTGGTTTTAGTTAATTTGTGCCTGGTTACACTGACGGGAGGTATCAGGAGGTTCAGTGGTTGAGAGGCAGGGAGTCAAGTCTGTACTTTGACAAGGACTTTCATGTTAGCCCAGGCAGGATGGAGGGACGCCTTTGCACCTCAGCTGTCTGCTTGTCATGAGGGATGAATATCACTTTCCTACATCAGACACACATGCTGGATTGATAAATGTGTTGTATATTACAAAATACGGATGCTGTTCTTACAGAGGCTAAGTGCCTGAGATGTACTAGAAGACTTTAAATGAGCTACAGAGCAGCTATTCAAAAACCTCAGTTTTGTATTTCACATCAAGTTAAGTTACAGACTTTAAGCATAATCTGTTAGTTGAGCGGCTAACAAGCTTATTATTGAAACTCTTCAATTTCTTTCACCTAAATTAAAGTATTACAAAACTAAAGATCTCACTGATCTTGAATGGAAATCCTATGGGATGAGATATATTCTGGTAGAGGTCAGGGGAAAAACGGGGCAGTCTCGGAAGTTTAGAGTACCTCTGCCTTGGTGCTTAGTGTCTGGGTGGTCAGAAGGCCTAGTAATTTACTGCTAAAAAATTCAGATACGGGCTATCATTATGATATGAGGTATTGGTACCAATTACTAGAGAGCATCCTTTCTTAGTCTGCTGTAGTTCTAGTGATTTCAGGGGAGATACTATGGTCACCTGGTAAAGGTTATGCATGTATGCTTGGGAGAGAGGTTTGCTACTGCACACCAATTTAAAGGCTGCCAGGACACAGCCTGATTTCTTGAGAGGTCAAATACTTTGTACCACCTACTGTTTGCTTTGTGTCTAATCTTTAAGTGGTACTGGTGGGAGTTTTATTCTTTCAGTTTCAAATGAGGCAGTTTCTCCTGCCACCCAAGGTCAGACATGTAAGGAGTTAGAAAAGGAGTTTCAGCCAGAAGGTTTCCTGAGGCATCCTGTGGGATCAGGGGAGATGAGCTGCTTGAGAGGCAGATTCAAAGCAGGAGCCCGAGGCTTGCAGTTCCTAAGTGGTGGTGGCTTCTCAAGGCAGGGTTGTGCTGCAGACTCATGGGGCATGAGGATCAGTCGCCCAGTTTCCTTTCATCACATATTCAGAAGGAAATCAAGGCCCCTCAATGTCGGGTGGGCGTCTCTGCTGAGCACACTGGGTTTCAGAGCAGCTTCTCAGGCTCCTCTAAGCAATTTATGGAATGACGGGAACAAGAATTTCTTTTCTGAGCTGAGATCTGATTGTGGCATCCATCACAAAGTGCTTTGAGACAGCTTTGAATATGGATGGAGTAAAATCCTTCTCACTGCTCAAGAGCATTGAAGTTATTATGAAGAAAGAAAGTTGCTGATTCCTCTGAACTCTGATAGCATTAATGTGTATTCTTGTTTCTCTTTAGCCTCAGGCAGCTTTACAAGGAGATGCATTTGGAGTGCAGGCGTTCACCAAGACCCAGTAAAATGTGCCCGATGTAAAAGGATGTCTCTTACTGTGTGTTTTAGAAAAAAATGTTTGACTTGCAAGAAGCATAACGCATATTTTGTAGACTGTGTGTTAATTTTTTTTTCACTTGCTGAGTGTCTCAGAGTATTTGTCTCTTTACAAGTATGGCTTAGCATAGTACATCATTGAGCACAAATTTTGTTAACAAGATGCTGAACACACAGTAAGTGAATTTTGAAGAGTTGGGTCACCAGAAGGTTCTTCCTTTCTCATCTTTAAGCCCTTGAACAATTCTTGCCCTGAATGGTGGTCGTGTGTCCTTTGTTGACAGTTTATTTGATTTGTAACCTGTTGGGGACTGGAGAATATTTTAAATCTGTTCTTGAACTGTGCAGACTGAAAATATTCCCCAAGTGTGTTGATAACCTTGAATGACGCTTATGGTGTGATAGCTGACTATGCAATATTTGCTGTCTTTTTCAGACTAATGGACACATATCTGGAAATGGAGATGTGTATCAAGAAAGGCTGGCGCGTCTGGAAAATGATAAGGAATCTCTTGTTCTGCAAGTGAGTAGGTGCCTTAATTCTTTTTTTCTGCTCTTGCATTCGTAAGACTGTTTGATAGTATCTGATAAAACCTCTGCAGGTTTATTTCCAGTTGTGTCATCTTCGACAATGTTCAGAAGGCTTGCTGATTCCTGAGAGTTAACCCAGGTTAAGGATAGGTGTGAATTTTGGTTGCAGGAAAAATCTGAAGGCCATTCTGTGTATCTGATCTCTTTTTGAATCTTGTTAGCTGAGCAGGTCTGCAGAGGAACCACCTTCTTATGTTTATCTGTATCCTTAAGATCACCATTCTCCATGACCATTCGCATGCTGTCTGCATCTGGTGATAGATGTCCTGTTCTCGTGAAAGGTGACAAAAGCTGCAGGACTGGCCAGCAGGCAGGAGGAGACAAGCAGCTCCTTGAAGGTCCTGCTCACCTGCTGATGGGCTGGACTGGGTCAGTCCTGTGTGCTCTGGCCAGCTGGCTTACTCTTGCGTTGGAGTTGGGACTACCCGGCACCCCTTGGTCTGTGTAGATGTCCTGCTGTCCTCTGATGCAGAGCTGGCCTAGGGGCTGTGACAATGCCAAGCACTGCTCTAGGCAGCTTGCCCTCATTCCCAGCAGTACTGCAGATTTCCTCAAAAGAACCTATTTAAAACAAAAACTACATTCAGAAAAGGCAAAATGGGAATTGTTCTGCAGTCTCAAAGATGTTGTCTTGGTCTTGCCTAGCCTCAGTCCGTGTATTTTAACCTCCTTTGCTTTTATTGTTCTGAAAAAGAGAAGCTGTATGCTATGATACACTGTGTACAGTCACTGGGAAAGGAGAATAAATTATATGCAGTGGGGTTTAGCTATTTATTTGGTTGTTAAGGCAGGAGCTAGTGGGTTTTAGTTAATATACTGTCACAGCAAAGGCACAATTGTTGGCTGTAAAATGCAGCAGCCACCCCTTGTGAAAACTTCCAGGACAAGTCAGGAGGGGAGATGCAGAATTCCAGTGCGTCCGCCAGAACTTTGGCTGAAATCCCAGTAAACATGAGGGGAGAGCTTTCCCTCCTCTCCTGTTGCCTTTGCAACGCATTGCGTTCACTGCAGAGCTCTGCTCCTCCTCCCC